TGATGTACATAAGTTTTTAATTTTTAGTATGTCCCACTCATCTAGTTTATCTGTTTTTGTTTGTGTGGTTTTCAAGATGTCTTGTAGTCCATGTATTCCCCTCGTTAGTGTCTTCACATTTGTCCCAAATTTTTCGTTGATGACCATAATTCTAGGATTCACATTTAGGTGCTTAATCCAAGTTGAGTTGGTTTTTGTATAAGGTGTGAGGTGAAGGTCTTGTTTCAGACTTTTGAATATTATTTTCCAGTTCTGCCAGCACCATCTGTTGAAGAGACTGTCCCCTCCCCATGGGATATATTTTGATGTTTTGTCGAAGATCAATTGGCTGTATGTAGATGCATTAATTTCTGGATTCTTGATTCTGTTCCATTGATCTATGTACCTTTCATTGTACCAGTACCACGCTGTTTGACCACTGTAGCCGTGTAGTATATTTTGAGGTCGGGGAGTGCTAGGCCTCCAACCTTATTCCTATGTCTGTGGGTCCGAGTCTTGGAGCTCTGTCCTGCCTCCTTTCTGCCTGGAATTCTGAGTTATTGCTGGCGGCGACCTTCACAACACCTTCACCCTAGCCGCCATCAAGCCCCACCTCCTCAAAATGAGTTTTGTTGGTCTGTCTAGTTTGTGAATGTGAATTTATTAGTCCTGGTGGTGGTGGTGGTTATGGGCCCTGGAGTTGATTCCGATTCATAAAAACCCTGTATAGGGTTTCCTAGGCTGTAAATCTTTATAGGAGCAGAAAATCTCATCTTTCTCCTGTGAAACAGCTGGTAGTTTTGAATTGTTGACTGTGAGATTAGGAATTTGACTCGTAACCGCTATGCTACCAGAGCTCCTTTATTAACCCTAGAGATTCGGAACCAACTCCACGGTACTTAACAACAACAACAACAACAAGCATCCTTTATTTGTTTATAGAGCTATCAGTATCTGTTCTTTTCTCTCCTTCCCTTAAGATACCATGGCTAGTCCAGGAAAAGATAACTACAGAATAAAAAATTATAAGAATAAAGTACTAAACCCCCAAGAGATGCGGAGACGAAGCGAAGAGGAAGGAATACAGCTTCGAAAACAAAAAAGGGAAGAACAGGTAATCACTTAAAAATATTTAATTCTGTCTTTTTATATATATGT